GCAATAAGATTCTAAATATGAGGGTGCCATTTATTGGGCTAAAGACATAAATGACACATAAACCAGTATAAGAGACTGGACACTGCTTCAAATATGTAACACAACAAAAGTTCAGTGTATATAAACTGCTTTCAAAATTACCAAAATGAGTTTAAGATGAACCCGAATGGATGTAATATTAGACTTTACTGATTTAGGTTAAACCAGTTTATTGAAACCTGTCCCAGATTACCTCCAGATTTAAGTTAACTCACAGTCTCCCAGCATGCCAGGATGCTGCAGGGTGGGTGGGAGGGCTAGACTTGGCCCAAGCTGTCTGCTCCAGCCAAGTAGGGAGGCAGGCTTAAGCATTCCCCGGCTTCTGGCCTGGGCCACAGCAGACATGTGACTGCATTTCCAGAATTAAAAGTGAATTTCTGTTCACTTGTTTATCAGTTCTATCTGTGCAGCTTAGATTAACCTGTGAAGACTGAATCGTTTCAGCCTTGGGCTTTTTTACTATTTGTCCTTAGCCTTGATGTTAATGGTAGAGAGACAGGCTGCACAATAAGGTCCTAAAACTTAAAGTTGCTTTACTGCTACCACAGAATATTGCAATGAGCCATTAATGTACTATATTTCAGGGCAGTGATTCTGAACCAGGGTGCTACAGTACTTGAGAGTGCCTTGAGATACTCTCAAGTGTGCTGTGAGGTGCCACACAATGTTAACAGTGTTAGGTTTACAAACATGGTTCACAAAATAAATCCAGAGATTTCAAAAAGAAATCCATAGTTTTTGGTCCTTCTGAGTTCTTTGCAAAAGAAGAACTGCTTTACTTTTATTTTGTAGGCAAAAAAGAGGGAAAACTAAGAGCTAGCATGTTCCAATAGGTGCCTTGAGTCTATTGAGGGTTAGCTTGAGTCTAAAAAGTTTAAGAATCACTGCTTTAAGATAATACTGTAGTAGCCAATGGCTCAATGGCAGAATACTATAGTATTTTATGGAGAAGAAAAAAAGTTATATACATGGAGAAAAGGACCCACATCACTTAACTGCACCTGTTTAGCAAAAAATACTCTCAAGTCCCTTTTCATTATTAAGTCCCTGTACCCCTGCCCAAATAGAAGCAGCTCTTCCTTGGTCAGGCTCCTTTACCTATGTGTCTCCGCAGTGCCTAGAACAAAGTGATATTTTATTATTTATTTTATGAGCGATAGTTATTATTTGCATTATCACACTGCTGTGTCAGAATTATGACTCAACTGTTCTCATTGCTATATGAACACATGCAAACTTATCATACATACACCTAATGAGAAAATTGTAACTTTGTTAACTACTTTACAGATACAAAATAAAAAATCAATATAAAACTAACCATTTTATTTTTGCTTCCATAAGTGCTTTGAAAGAACTAACAAAAATAAACCCTAGACTTATAAAGAAAGAAACCACACTGCAGGCTAAGAAAAACAGGAAAAAAGTCTACAAATTTCAGCAGTTGCTTTGATAAGCAGGCCTACCTTGCACTGCTTTACAACTGGAACTATACCACTTCGCAATAGCTGAGACTTTAACCCTATCTCTTTAAACATAATATTAAAGACCTGAGTTTATTTTCAAAATGTTTAAGTCCCTTCCTCAAGTATATGAAGTACAGTAATCACTAGGCAAGCAGATTTGCCACTACTGTGTATAGGGTTGTTTGCTAAGCATGGGTTTTAAGCAGAAATAAATTATTGACAGTGGTTTTCAAAAAAAGAAAATCAGCTTTTCTACACAGGTAGCAAGATGATTAGTTTTTAAATGATACCCTAATAGCGTGTTTGCACAGGGTAGACAGGGAAGAAACTTCTTGGAGGAAAGTATATTGCTTGGAAAGCATCCTTTACCACTGGGTGCATGTGAGAGATTTCCTCTCATTCATGGAAACTATCAGCACTGATCAAATCCAGAAGTCTTGTCCAGCTTGGTTAAGCTGATAGGCTGTCTGCATAATATGGGAACTCAAAGTAAAAAGCAGGAAAGCAGTACACTACAATTAGAAAAGACACGAACATTTGTATGTGTATTATGGCCTTTTATTTTTAACCAGTTCACCAAAGGTGAGAACAGGAATAGATGCCTAGGGGAGTTGTGGACTCTCCATCACTGGAGGTGTTCAAGAGGAGGCTGGACAACCACTGGTTAGGGATGATCTAGGTGTAGCGATGCCTATGTTTTATCGTGGGTAGTTCCCAGGCTACTGGCCTTTGCTGGTTGCCCAATCTCTCACTTGATGCCATGTGTGCCATGGTGTTTTTAAGCCTTCTTCAGAGGCATTGTGTGCGGGCTGCATCCAAGGCTGGGGGTTTTGACTGGGCTGCGTCAATGCTCCTGCTGGGACCAAAGCCGGAGGTTCCTGTGTAGAGGGTCTTGCCTCTGCATTCAGAGTCAGACCCATTGCCATATTTGGGGTTGGGAAGGAATTTTACTCCATGATCAGATTGGCATGGACTATGTGGGGGTTTGCCTTCCTCTGTAGCAGGGGGCATGGCCCTCTACCTGGGAACTCTTGAGCATATATTGACAACATTTTATAGAAGCAGGACATTGGCTGCTGTGGTCCCCCTGTTTTCCTGTGGCAGGTTAGGGCATTAGGTCTGTGCTGTGTCAGGGTTAAGGGTAGTCTTATGTAGCGTTTAGATTATGGATTTTATAGGATGATTTGAATAGGGCTGATCTTGCCTTAGGCAGGGAGTTGGACTAGATGACCTCTGGAGGTCCCTTCCAGCCCAATTTCTCTATGAAAGGTAACATTAAAAAAAAGCAAAATAATCTGAAGCCCACATTTTCTGAAAGAGGAATCTGAATGCAGTATCAGCAAATTAATCTATACTCATTTATCTTGCAGTAGTGCAACACTCTCATATTCAATCACAAGATTAGCTAACTTGTTGATGCGAAATGCTTTGCTCATTAGTTTGCTGTCCAATGATATCAAGTACACACATTTGTCAAAAAAAGTTAAAATTTTACAAGACACTCGAGCTTATGCTCTACTGTGCACTCATATAAATATAGTTCAGTGATTACTGCTTATCTTTTTATGAAACAAAAATCGTGTTGTTTTTATTCTTGCAGCTTTGTTTGAGAGTTTTTCTCTTATTGAAACATCTGCTCTTCTGGTTTGCACTGTCAGATGTAGGAGACTCCCAAGCCATAAATACTGTGAGTCATACTGAATATTCAAGTAAACCATGGGCAAATAACAACATTTAGCTCTTATATATAAGGCCTTTTCTCCATTAAGCTCAAAGCACTTTACAAAGAAGTATCATTGTCCCCATATTGCAGGTTGAAACACAGAGGCACACTTATGAAATGATTTGACCAGGGTCACACAACACGACATATGCACTATTGGAAAGAATCCAGGTCTCTTGACACCTATTTCTTAATCCTGTCGCTGGATAATGATACTCCATATACGTAGGTGCACAGGCACTTCAGTGCTTTCCTTTGTACATAGTACAAGTAGCTAGACTATGAGGTCTGGGCTCTGTGGAGGATGGCGCAGCAGACATCCCTCTCCCAAACACTGTGGAATAGCAGTGGAGCTGCCACAGCCTCTTCTTTACACTGGAGTAAAGTTTTGGATATGCATATACCAGAACAGAACTGGAGGAAAGGAACCAAATAGTTGTGTCTGGCTGAGACATTGCCTGGCTTTGTCTTTATTTCCACTGATCAGTTGCATGTCAATGCACAGGAAGTGGGCTGCTCCAAAACTGACTATGCTCACTAATGATTCCTTGATTCTTGGGTCCTCTAAATAGTGAAAATGGACCCTAATTTTTCCCTTTCTGTTGCAAATCAGTGTTTCTACCTGGTACTATTTAGCCATACCTGTGTGTTATACATAACTATCCACTCACCTCCAAATGCAAGGCTCACATGAAGATATTGATACTGAAGCAGTGTTAAGATTCAGAGTTTTAATCTGATTACCTGCCCCTCCCTGAGTTGTTTACAGGTAGAACAGAAACTAAGATAACCCTGGCTAGTAAGCTGTTGCATTAACAGATTGACTCCCTAAATTCCTTTATTTCAAAAGGCAAGCCAAACCATATTTCATTAACTTAAATAAAATGCCTATTATAATGTATTTCCTCTGTGTTTGCTGTAGAAGGGTTTTTGTAGGAAAAATGTGGTGAAAGACTATGTTTGGAAGTTAATAGTTGCCGATGCAAGCACAGCTAGAGTGAGTATGATATTGCTAAACTTTTCTGCACTACCATTTTGCTGCAGCATGAAACATATAGCCATATGGTTGTACAAATTCCATCTGTTGACCACATGATCACTGCATGTGTGGGCAAAAAATTCTTGTCTCTAATCACAAACACAACTATCTTGGCTCCATGCTACATGCAAGTGTAAATTTTGAATAATGTTTGAGTCAGACTGTACTGTACACACAATAGACATCCTGACTACTAAATAGGAAATCTGCAGAAAATTGAGTAATACTCTTTGAAGTCTATTCTTTGAAGATAGTGCTTTAACTGAAATAAGCTTATTTGTAAAATAAATGCTTTTTGTGAATGCCTTTTACATTAGACATTTTTTAAACAACTTAACATGTCATTTCCACCTTGGCACTCCAGGACTTTAAAGTAACTATTTATTAAGGAAATGTTTCTCTGTTAAGTAAATGAGATAAACCTAAGCAGTAATATACATTTCATTGGCCTGTAATAAAAAGAGCATTTAAGACAAATGATTTTAAGCATACAAATGCCACTTTCATCTACATCTCTGCTGTGGTTTAATATAAAATCTGTATTTTGTTGTACTGTAGCTGACGATTTCTAAACTCATTTGATTGTTGTGGTTCCTTTAATACCTAAATTACTACAAAGTTTCTGTAAATTAGTTGATTCAAATATGAATTGATTAAGCTAGAATGGTTGTATTAATTTAGACAAATCTGCCACTAGTTTTGTCCCTTTAAACTGATCTACAGAAAGGCCTACCTGGATGTTAGTCAGAAGGGTCTCTATGGAGGACAATCCATCAGGGAATAGAAAAGGAGATGGAAAACCTGGTGGTAGTGGTTGCCCATGCCCAGTTAGAGAAAGTTTGTCAAGGCTGTCTCTTGCGGTTGGTGTGGAGAGCGGGGTCTCATCTGTATGTGATTGAAACAAAAATATAGAACAAGTTACGCTTGTCTGTTTTTATTAGACCTCAGTAATGGCTTCCCTAGTGGTTTCCAGAACATTTATTGCAAATTGGTTCCTGCTATCAGGAGAAAATGCTTTCTGCTGAATTTTCTTTAATGAAAAAGCTGTGGAGATACAACAAGATAACATTAATGAGTAACTTTATAAGCCTTTTAAATGCAGTCTCTAATGAGACTGAGTTTACAGTGCCATAGAATCTTTTTAAAACAAATATTATCTCACATATACTTGTGATAATATATTCAGGCTGACTTTATGGGCACCTTCCCAATTATCTCATTTTAGTTTGTGTTCTATTTGGATTGACAATAGAATATTTTCTAGCACGACATATATTTTATATAGAGTAGTATTTGCATTGAAGGCTTCCCACACCGTTAACCCTTCACAGCTCCTGATGAATTCATATATTCACTGAAGATACAAAAAAAGGGCAAAACTACATTGGTTCATTGCTTTTCTCTAACAGAGAAATAATACCTGGTTCTTGCAGATCAGGTATGTTTTAACAATAACTGAAATTAAAAGTATGGTTAGAACCACGAGCCTATTCTTTTAAACATGGATCTTTTAACAATTAATGCTAAATTCCTATGTAGAATCTTTATAACTATCAGAACTGATCATTTGTGACATCACAATGGGAAAAAAACTCTCACTAGTAGAAAAATTAAAGAGTAAAGTTTCAGTCATAATTTATGAGATTATAAAGTAACATATGTAAAGCAAGAAAAAAAAAAACAAAAACAAAAATACTGACCCAGACACTCCCACAGTCAAATATGCTTTTATAATTTAAAATAATGTAAAGATTGGTGTTGATGAATTACAAAAGTTTGGGTCAATTTCATTATTCCAGACATTAATTTGGCTTCTCTATGAGAAAAAACATCTCTACAAATTGCTCTTCTTTAAGGTTACCATATGACTGGGTTTTCCCAGACATGTCCTCTTTTTTGATCCCCTGTCCTCTGTCTGGGTGGGTTTTTAAAATGCAAGCACATGTTCACGTTTTTGCTCTGCTTTTTCCCGGGACTTCCAGCTTGGCTGCTTGGGGCTGGGAGCACCAGAGGAATGTGATTGGCTGTCGGGGGATCATGTGCTCTGCACACGGCCCCCAGCAGCTGCTTGCAGGTAGGAGAGAGCAGCAGAGCGGCTGCATGTGCTTTGGAGCTGTGTGGACAGCAGGGCTGGGAGGGGGCAGGGGGTCATGAGTGAAGGGCACTGGCAGGGCAGGGCACTGTAGGTTAGGAGGGAGAGGAACTGGCAGGGCTGGGGGGCTGTAGCTTAGGAGTG